GCGGGGCAGAGGGAGGAAACTCGCGGATGCTCCTGACGGAGGGCGGGGACGGCTTGTCGGATCGGAAAGAGGAGGAAGCTGCTTCCAAACAAAAAGAGACATGCTTAAAACCAACGGGCAGTGGAGAGAGGGGGAGGAGCTGTTAGGAGAAAGAGGGTGGCCCTGCATGCTGGGTTAGAAACCCTCCTGCCCCGCCGGGCCAGGGAGGGAGGGAGGGAGGGAGGGGATGGAAGATGGGGAAGGAGCGAGAGACGCCTCGGCGGGCGTGCCAAAAACCACTGGGCACGATGGGCAAGGGGCCCGGGCTGGAGACCCCTCTGGGATGGCCCCAGATGCCAATCTACTAAAGTCTGCTGGGCCCCAAGAGCCAACAGCCCCAGCCTAGAGGTATTTTGGCTGTTTTTCAGAGCCAGCAGCTCGTGCAGACACACGGTTGCCCTCGGAGGCTGCTCCAGAGGGGCACACGCACACACAGACAAGGTTACCTGAGACTTTGGGGGTGGGATTGCAAGAGAAGCCCCCATTAGATTGGTCAGTGTCTCCAAAGTCGTAGGTCTCCCTGGGTTTGGGTTTGTATTCCCTCTTGGGACGTGAGGAGGCCTCCCTCATTCTGGAAGAAGGAAAGGGAGGGGAAGAAATCCAAATATTAAACTCAATATGATGAGACCAGCGTGGCCTTCATCCTCCTCGGTGGCTACCCTGGGGAGCAAAGTGGTTTGTAGAGAGGAATCTGCACAACTTTCTGTGCTGGGGGGTGTTCTGGAGGTGGATCTCGCCCAGGGTTTGGGACCTGGCCCTTAGAGAAGGCCCCATGGCCCAGGCTTGGCTGTGGAGATGTCTCAGGCAGCTCAGGCCAGCAGAGGACACTCCTGCTGCAGTCTGAAAGCTCACACTTGGCAGGAGCCTCCCAGCTCTCTTTAATTCAAAGCAAGACACAGGAGCCACTCAGCAGTTTCTCCAAGGAAAGAGCAGCAGGGGCAGAGTCACTCAAGGGCCCCAAGAAGCAGCAAAGCTGCCCTGGCTCTGCCCAGCCTGGAGAAGGCACCTCCCTGGCTCCACAGGGATGCAAGGAAGAAGCCAAATTCTCACTCCTTGGCTGAGGATTTGGGGAGATGCTCTCTGAGGGGAAACAGCAGCAAGAAGACCAACTGTACAAGCCTTGGCAGTCGTGTGATCCAGCTCCCTGGGCATTTCAACAGCACCTCTGTGGGGTTTGGCACCTTGGCAGCAACCACACGTTCCCCGGGGCCGCTGCCGAGGTCAGGCACTGGAGGTGGGGCAGGCAGAGCAGCAAGACCAGGCAAGTCCATGGCTCTCCTTGCTCCTGTGTGCCAGGCACCCATCTGCCTCTCACCATCTCAGGTGGCTCAGAGCTCCAGAGCACGGGCACCTCTGTGGTGGGTCTGCCAGGAGACCACCAGGCTGGCTGGGAAGTGATGGGGCTGGCAGAGGGCTCACAGACCACCCTGAGGAGGTGATGTAGGTGCTCTACCCCTGGCCTGTGGCCACCACGTCATCCACATCATGTTGCAGTCACCTTCTGATCTTCAGAGCAACCAGGAGGCCTTGACGTGGACCTGTCTGGGCCACAACCATGGCCAAACATCCAGGTATCCTCCTTAACCACAATCAGCTTGTTGTCAGTACAACAGGGGCTTGGGTTGGCAGTAGTGTGGCCAGCAGGACTAGGGCAGGGGTTGTCCCCCTGGACTCAGCACTGGGGAGGCTGCACCTCAAATTCTGGGGTCAGTTTTGGGCCCCTCACTCCAAGAAGGACCTTGA